CGACAGCTCTGCGGGAACCATTTCATTTTATGTACATTGTGGGAGCTCGTGCAGATTGCATGAAACCAATTGGATGAACACTTGCATGCATGTAAAATATTTTCCAGCCATATAATATGCCCTGGTCTCCCTACGTGCATTGGTGTGGAAAATATACGCGCTTGCACGCATCATGCAATACAGCTTTTGTCCACACTGCAAAAACAGACTTGCAATGCATATACTCATGGCCTTGCTATAGTATAGAGCCTATAGAGAGAAGATCCTTTCATATATGCAATCTTGAGTTCTTGAATACAGCTCTTCGCGTTGAACTTTTTCTGTATATGGTCCTGGCTGTTTAACCACACAATGTGTGACCTACTCCTCTGCATGCACTTCATGTTGTTCCCAGCTTTTATCGGGATCAACATTTTTGCAAACCAATTGCTTTCTGAGGTCTCTTGCCGGGACGCCATCCGGCAGGCGCAAGTGACCAGGGTTGCATCCAAAGGATTGACATCACAGGCCAGGGTGGATCTGAAAAGAAGTGAGCAGGGTGCTCACAAAGTGTTTCAAGACTATGGTCAAAGTTTGTCTGTGAAGATTTCCAAAATCAACATAGACAGCATGGAGGGATTTCCGCTTGTGAAATTCAGCTCCTGGTTGCGGCATCTCGTGGAGGAGGACGAGTTGGGCAGACTGGTCGGTGTGGACAACATCAAGTCCATGCAGGGTCTCCTTCGAGCTTTTTGGTCCCGGTACCAAATTGTCAATCCTGACCACATCATGTTTCATAGCCAGGAGGGTGCTGCAGGGCAGCCAGAGATGACAATACCAATTTTGGTACATGGTGACGAAGGCCGTGGCAAGAAAAAAAACAAGTTATGATCCTCTCCTCGACACCAGTCCTGGGAAAAGGTTCATCTCGCTCCAAACAGGATGATTCAGTTGTGGATACGGATTCCCCTTTGAATATGAATATGATTGGGGACACACATCTGACTCACTTTCTTTCGGCCGTCCTCCCGATCTCATTGTACAATGACAAGCCGGAGAGCTTGCACCAGGTCTTGGCTGCTTTGGCAGCTGACTTCCGACAGTTGTTCACTACCGGTGTGACGGTGAATGGGAAGAAATTTTTCATATGTGTGATTGGATGTAAGGGTGACTGCCCTTACCTGGTGAAGGCTGGGCGCTTTGACAGGAGCTTCGCTCGACGACCTCTGAAACGTTCCTCAAAGAAGGCATGTCCAGGGATCTGCCATTTGTGTTTGGCAGGCAAAGAGACCGACAGTCAGGGTATTGCAGTTGAAATACCATACGAAGACTACGGTACGGAACAGCCTGCTTGGCTGGAGACTATGGGGGTTGAGCCGGCCTACGAGGTGCCATCAGCCTTTGCAGCAATCCCATTTTTGAAAGATGGGGCCCAAGGAGGGTTGGACATGTTTTTCCAGTTCGACCTGTTTCATAATTTACATTTGGGTCTGGGAAAGAATTTCATTGCCAGCGCTATTTGCGTGTGTATGGAGCTCATCAACAATTCCATTGCTGGTGCGTTTGAAGACTTGACACGAGATTTTCGGGCGTACTGCCAGCGGAACCGCCAAAGCCCTTATCACAAAACACTGTCAGCATCCTTGCTTGGAGTTGAGGGTGGCTTCCAGGATGTTCCGGACGCGGCATGGAACAAAGGAGACCATACCAGGTTATTGCTCCAATGGTTTGAAGATTATTGCTCTCGAGAAGTTTTGGGCAAAACCAGGGATCCACTATACATCTTGTGTGCTGCTTTGCTTTGTAAACAGGCTTGTGCCGTTTCTTTTTCTGTTGGTTCAAAAGCCAAAGGTTGGTTCAGGTGGTTGGTTCGGCCTCACCGTTGGAACATACATGTTTGCACTTGGCCGTCCCAGGCTGAAGCGACTATGGCCATCAATGAGTGCGTTGGCGGGCTTTACAAGGAAGGGCTCTTTGTCAAAGCGCCCAGGGCCGAATATTTGGCCACAAAAGGCCTTGTGTTTCTGCAACGGTATCGCCAGTTGGCAGTGATGTGCTTCAGGCTTCGAAAGAAGCGGTTCCCTCTGATGCCCAAGGGGCATTATTTACATCACCAATTTTTGTCCATGTTGCATGCCTCGCGCCAAGGGCCATGGTGTATAAACATTTTAGTTTACGCCAACCAGATGTCAGAAGACTTTGTTGGCAAGCCATCGCGGCTGTCTCGCAGAGTTTCAGCCAAGACCGCCAGTCTGCGAGTCCTTCAACGAAGTTTCCTTGCAATTAGAAATTCAATTTGCTCCACGTTAGACCTTGGAGACTTAAAGCTGGGCACTTGAGCCTTTGGATGATGTTTGGGCTATACCCAACATGTTGTTCTATTCTATGCATCTTCCTGCACGCATGGTATGTATGAATGCGGGTGTTGAGATATGAACTCTATGTCTTTGTGTGGAAGTATGGTTGTTTCCTACACCACTACTGAACCCAGCAGGTCTCAGGCCGTGGCTTTGGCAGGATGCTTGCGGCACGGGGCCGCGATCGAGCCCGGTGGCCACGCGAGAAAACGTCCGTGAAACGAAGGGAAAGGATGGGAGGACGGGGTGAGAGGGGCTTTAAGTCATCAAATCCTATACAAGCTCCCATGATGATATTCTTTGTTTGGAACAGGGAATACAAAAACCGGGTTTTCAGACCTTCCATTTCCATGACCTAGAAAAAGTAGGTCGCAACATATAACCTTTCTTTTTCATGGTCGCGGCTGCTGCTGGTATATATATAATTGATGATCATTTGTCTTATGCACATATAGTCATGGGTATATAAAATACACAAGAGCTAAAGCTCTTGTGCCGCCTTCTCTAAACTCCGCTGATATTCCCCGAGCATCACTTGATGTTAGCAAAATCAAGATCGGCCTTCCAAGCTCTCGGTAGCAAGATGAAGACGCTCCCGTGCCTGGCTACAGGGCAGTAGAACAAGGAACAACTGTCATATCGGCTGCTCAACTCGCCGTTCTTTGCGGGTTGCCCAACCCCAAACCCATTAGGGCATAGGGCATAGGGCAGGGCCTAGGTGTCCGGCAAAAACTTATTAAAGCTTGACTTGAGTTTGGTGCCATCTTTTTTTGACACCACCACAAATGAATCGGCAAACAAAAACCATGTACCGAGGAGGCAAAAGCTTTCAGAGTTGCATGCTCAACGCAGCTGCCACCAAAAGCATGTATAAGCATATTAATGTGCTTCCGGAGTATCGAGCATTCAGCATGACGATAAAACCACAGACTCTCTCTCCCTCTCCCTCTATATATATATAATTTATATAATGTAATTGGTGCGCAGCCTCGTAGTTGAGTCGGTGCTGGACAGTGGGCTTATGGTGCAATAACTCAAGTGGCCCGATAAGAGCTGCTCCAAATGATCCAACCAGCACATGGATGGGGGGGTAGGAACAAGAACGCTACGAACGGGGCTCCTGGCATCGCTACTAGGAGCAAGGATGCTACTAGGGGCTCCTGGCCGTACTACTAGGAACAAGATCGCAACTGTTCGCAACTGAACAAGAAACTGACATGGAGCTCCTGTCCTTCTCCCTCTCTCCCCCTCCTTCCCTCCCTCCCCGATGAACCAAAATAAAACGTGAAGATTGTGAAGGGAAGCGGTTTTGCATAACCTCGCACTGTCAAGTCTCAGTCTAAGTGAGAACATCAAATCGAAACATCCACTAACAGAAAAGCTCTGAGCTGGATCACTCAATTGGCGAGCTTCAGCGTTGGCGTTGCCAATATCACCGTCTTACAGCTGTTTTCTTGGCAAGTCCCAGGTCTTCCAAATCCTTGAACTCCAAGCCTGCGTTTCCTTCTATCTTGGCGTTTCCTGCCGATGCACGGATCGCTTCGGATCATTTGGTGCCAAGTCTCCGAAACAGCCGACGGGCTTGCGACGCCGCATCGCTGGAATGACTCAGCCAAAGGAGTCAAAACTGTTATGGGGGGGGCACAATCTGCCCAGCAAAGGCAGCAGTCTCCCTGAAAGTGGTCTGGAGGCAAGTGCGTCAGGCATAATGTTTCTGTCAAAGATTCATGGCCTTGGTAGCCAGTGGCTACTTGTACAATTGCAGTGGTACTTATGTTCTACTGGGTTCTGGATGGCCTTGGTTAGGTTGCTTGACTTGCCTTAACAACCTCCTCTTTCCATCTGGTCGAAGTAAATTTACGCTACCCAGGCTGTGAATGCTTTGATCAACTCCTTTGTACCTACACCCTGGCGGGAGCGTCAAAGCTGCCATCTGCCTTCTAAAATATCCGCCGCTTCGGTGCGAATGCCATGCGGCGAGTATATACTTGTCATGGAGATGGCGAGGGAAGTCTCTATACTTTATTATTTTTGGGCTAACTGCTAACTTGATCATACATGATCTATAATTACCCTTGCTTTCCAGTCTTCCCTGCCGATCGCATGACATCCATCGTCGGAAGATGAAAAAATCGATTCGAGCACACAGCGATTGCCCTAGGGCTAAGCTGCCTGGCCTTAGCACAACACTTTGATCTCCGGCTTCACCCATGGAACCAGCATCAAGGTGAGCTTTCCACTGAAACACTGATGCCTTGTAGTACGCCGACAGAACTCCTCAAAGAAATCAGCCCAATTGTGTTATGATTTATTGAATATTCCGACATCCGGCCAAGGGCCAAGGCCTTGCGAAGTCGTCTTCCGAAGGTCCATTGACCTCGGACCTAGTCCCAGACTTTCCTGAGACAAGCAATTCATCCATCCACATTTTTAAGCCTGAAGTGCTGAAGTGCATTTCATTGCGCCATGATCCACATGAAGCAGGGCCTGTTGGTGGTAAGCAAATTAGAATTCGCCGAGTTCCCTTCACGAGCACCAATTCACAATACCTCTAATGTAGCCCGTGCTCAGGCTGATTGGAGACCTATGTTCTGGCCTTGTATGATGACCTCCACTTGCGATAGAATTCTGTGGAGAAACCGATGACGATGTAGCATGTGATTGGTTCTTGAATCAAGTGCGTTTTGTCATGCTATATGTCAATTGTCTGCTTTGGCAACTTGCGTGGCATCTCGCAACAATGCGACAATTTCCGTATGACCACCCGCAAGTGCCGCCATCTCCTCAGCACGGAGGGAATGGTTACGACAAAATTGGATGCTTCTGAAGGCGCAAAAACAACCTTCATCAAACAATGCGAGTGACAGGTAGTGAACCAAAATCAAAACCCAGCAAATATGTAATATAATGCGCACATAAGACTAAGCAACCTCCCTTATTAATCAAGCCCATCTCAAGCTCCCAATACTAATTTAAAACCCAACAATCACATTGACCTACCTCTAATAAAACCTTCCTTGGCAATAATCCTCCCTATTAATCAGCCCATCTGCCACTCATCCTATGGTGAAACGCATCAATCTTCTGATCCAACTTCTGAGTGCTTCTGAAGGCTGATGCTACCAACCATTCTGATTGCCAATGCCCCCCTGCACCAAGAAACAATGTTTCGACAGCCCCTAAAAACTATCTAGCTAAATGTTTTAAGGTTCCCCTGTTAAATCTCTGTCAAAATCTGAAGGGTTTTCAAGCTCACAAAGGGTACCCCTTACACAAGCCCTAACCCCCTCTAATAGTCGGGGGCACCTCCCCCTCTTAATCAAGCCTACCTTTTGGCCTCCATCCATCTTGTCTTCCACCTCTTTCAAATCATCCCAGTCAAAGAAAGTATCGCCAAAGGGTTTCCGAACAGTTTCATGAGCCTGCCATGGTTTCCCCACTCAGTCTCAGTTTCCTTCTCATCCCAATGTTTCCAATCAAACCACTGATTGGACACTTGCTCATACAGTCATCATTAAGGGGACGTGGTCTCCTATACCTCCAATCTCAAACCTTGTTGACTTGTTGACTTTGAAGGGGGGGTTAATTTATCCGACGTCGACCTTATTATGTATACTATAATATTTAAAAAAAAAAAACTATCTATGATACAATACATGCCTATGGTTGCATACCACCATCGGCATTCAACGGTGGTCCATAGTATTTGATTTTGCCTCATGTAAGCCCAAAGATTTAGCCAACACATTCTTTCCAAATCCATGAACGCACATCATTATATTATCTAAATCTCATAGTCAATTCTTTAATCATTTAACCTTTCATAGGTTTCCACTCTTCTCACCTTCCTCTCGTCCCAGTGGCTGGTGTCTCTTGGGCTTCATCGGGCACCTGGGCGTCCGCCTTGTGACTCAGAAGCAGTTGGCACGCCGCCAGGTGCCCGAAGCTGGCGGCCAAGTTCAAGGCGGTCCACCCGCACCTCGGAGCAAACCATCGTAGTTTTTCACGAAAAGAAAGGAACATACTGATGCACAACGAAGATACATTGATTCGCATGATGTAACAACATGCACCATGTAAAAATGCCGAAGACGTTGAACCTCACGGACCGTACGTCATTGACCCCCCACGCCCCCGCCAAAGGTCGAAGATGCACCTAATACGCATGATGAGAGAAGCATTAAAAATTAGATGTAGATAAAGCGGACAAATGTCGATATGATGTTTGGGTGATATTACATGCAAAAATGGACATTCCCGAAGAGCGAGCATCAACATCCGAAGCACAAGGACATTTCAGCAAAAAACTCACAAGGGCCACATGAACACATGCAATGCAATGAGATGTTGCCATGGAGCAAACATCAGAAAACGCTGCTATTTACAGTCCAAAAGAAAGGTCCTGACTTTCACGCAACGTGCGACAACATCAAAGATATGATTAGTGCTTTGACAAAAAGTGCACCACGACTAGCGCGGTTCTCAGCCCGCTGGCAAAAAAATGAGCAGTTGGTGATATACGTGGTGGAGAGTCCACATGGCCAAAAAAAGGATGTAACAAGTTCGATGTCACTAAGCCAAAGACTGCCCAGCGGCATTGACCTGTGCGCAAAGGATAGGCGCAAGGGGGGACACAACGCGTCACCTTGAAGAATGGGGCCTGCAGGGCTTCGGATGTGTCACATTTGCAGAATCTTGTGGAACAAACAAGACTAAACAAGGCTCTACCAGGTGATCAATGTTCAGTCCGGCTGCATCTCCAAGCTCTTCACGGCTGCAAGCAACAAGTGAAAAGGACCCGCCCCCATGCTCAGCCCGAAATCGTTCAGGAGCTTCGCGAGCTTCGCTCTTCGACTAACATGAATGCATGGTGCTGTGCTCCTGTGGCCTACCGTGGCGCCACGAAATGGCACTGATCTCCTGCCTGGGCATTCTGCTGCAACAGGGCTTGCAAAATGCGTATGTGCCCAGATTGTGCTGCCAATAGCAATGGAGTATTGCCCTCTCGATCCCTCATGTGCCTCAATCAGTTCAGTGCCAAACTCAATGCCAAAGCTACCGTGCACCGGGTGTAACTCTCTGTACAGTACTACGACTTGGAGTATGCTTAGGGCTCCTCGTTTGCTGGACTGGGCACACATTTGCCAGAAAGATCAGCAAGTGCTCCACCACGAGGGAATGTCCAAAAGTTGAAGCAATCCTCTGATGCAAAGCGATATGCAAACTCACTTGGCTAGCACACGATTCCACAGATTCTGCATGCACCGTATGTACCCCGAATATTACCTCATCACGGCGTGCTTTTCGCAATGAACAAACACCTCCTCAAGTTCGTCCCAAGGTTTGCGGACCTCAAAGAAAGTAAGCTTCACAAAAGGAATCCAAAAAGACGGTTTCTGAGATGCCGGGGTTCATCAAGGGCGTCCATCCATTAGGGGCACGAGCATTCACATCTGCAGCATTTGCCAACCTGGCAAAAAATGGCGCTCCCGTGAATGAAAGCGCCAAATGACCGCAGAACATCTTTGTGTACGCTTGCAGTGGAGACTAAACGCAAATGAAGGGGTCTCAATCCAAGTGCGTGTTCTTTTTGCATATTTTGTGTGCTGAGAACGTTCCTCACCTGCACATCTCACCATCTCACCCCACAAATCCCCAAGACCCGACCACAGCTCTGCAAGGAGCTGCCCTGAAAGCAAAGCACTGAAAGAACGTAAATCTTTGCGCTTGAGCTCCACAACTACTGCTCGATATGGCTGCTTCATGCTGCTTCCGAGTCACAAGTCTTGCGCCACTCGTTGTGATCCGTACTGGCATGCGACCGCGAGCGCCCCAAAGCCATTGGCAGAGGTGGCGTTCACATCCACATTGCCTGCCAGGAGGGCAGAGATCACCTCGCCATTGTTCCTGAGATCGGACTCTCGACGGTCCACCACTTTGACATCGGTCTTTAACCGGCGTTTGTTTAAAAAGATCTTATTTACAGTACTAATATACTGTAAGGCCAAGTTGTGTACTGTAAGTAAGTACTAAATACTATACTAGTATCTTTTATATTATATAATATATTTATTTATAATACTAGTATTTAAACTAGTGCTTTAAGTCTGTGAGGCCACGTTGTGGAGCAAAGCTGTCTAAAGCTGGAACTGCCACCAGCCATGATTGGACTACTAGACATGCGTAGAGGTGTAGAGCCAAAGTTACAAGGCCAGCCCCAGGGATGAGCTTTGAACATGGATAGCATCAGAATGTCCGAGCATTGTCCGAGCAATAGCCGAGCGGGACTTGCCAAAGGGTTGGTAGGCAGTCCTTCCTTGAGCGTGTATCTCTGCAAAGGGTAGGATTCCAATAGCTGGATTGATCTCGCTTGCGTTCATTCAGATCACAAAGCTCCATTCCATCTAGAAAAGGCATTACTAGCACAAGATTGCCGCACACTGTCCAAACCATGCTGAGCCCTACTCTTCTGACTAAGGAGTTGGAAAGCGCTTAACAGACGAGAGGCTTGTGAGCTGCGATCCGCAAGGCTTTTCCGCCGGCAGGGCCAGAGCCATCCTCAGGGCATGGACGGATCCTACGTGGAACACTGGTCCTGAATTCCTTAGGCAATCATGGCTCATAACACCACAGAAACTACCTGGAGTCCAGAGAGAGAGAGAGAGACAGAGAGACAGAGAGAGAGAGAGAGAGCGCGAGAGAGAGAGAGAGGGAGAGAGAGAATGAGAGAATGAGAGAGATACAAAGGGACAGCCAAAAAAAATATCAATAAACTTTATCAAACCTCTATGTTCTCCAGCCTCTCCGGCAAGATTGGGATCCACTTTGTAATGGAAAAGCCGTTCCACGATGCTGGCATGGCCATATTCGGCCGCCCACCACAAGGCATCGGCCAAAGATGCTTGCTCCTGGCCACAAGACTTGCGACTTGAGGACCAGTGTTTTCTTGAATGACTGCAAGCTCTGACAAATCCAAATGTTCACTGCAATTTTGTTAATCGGTGTGGTGCGCAATCAATTTCAAGCAAGTTTTCCTGATTTTGTCTTCTGCCTGCCCAAAACAAATCCATTCAGTTGTGTAGTGTTGTTGGGTAGGTCCCATTCAGGGACCCAAGCCATCGCTAGTGATAGTGGGCCATCCAACGGCAATCCATCGGCACTGAATCCATCGGTCCATCAAAACCCTCAGGGTATTGGTGAAAACACACTCTGCAGGCAGCCGGAGTTGACCGGGGCCAACTCCTGGGGCCTCGGTCAAGCAACTCCTGGGGCCTGTGGGGCGCCGAAAACAGCGCCGCAGACCTTCCGATCCCTGCCTGACCGACACACAGAAGCTCTTCCACCACTTCCTGGTGGCCCTTCTGCGCAGCATTCGTGAGCGCAGTGGTAGAGTCGGATGCCTCCAAATGTGAAAAATGTGGCACCACAACAGCTTCTTCCCTCAAAGCTACTCTTGATCTAGTCATTCTCGTTGATGCAAAACAGTCCAACACATTGTAAGACATAAGAGGCAAGTAAGAGTTGCCAAGCTATATATTTAAATTAAGAGCGATACTTCTGTTTGGGCCTCAAGTTCACAGGTCCGTCGTTGCCGTAATCTCCTGTCTCCTGCTAGATGAAAGCATTATGGTGCTGCCGTAATAATATCCCGCAACATCTGAACATTTCAACAATTATGGTCAAGGGTTGTGAGGCTTCGAAAACCCGATGCCTGACATCGATCAATCGACCTGCCTGCAGGCTCACATCAGCACGTGCAGTGAGCAAGCGCTTGAGGGAGGATGTGTGACCCAAATCTGCAGCCAGCATCAGTGCTGTACACTTGGTATTGTTCCTGGGATGGCTCGTAACATCCATGTTGAGGAACAAAGGTTCTGAAACCTATAATCAGGACTACCTACCGGCCCGTGCGTAGGAACGTTCAAATCGTGTGTTGGTGCAAAACACAACACGTTGATTACTTCGGTTTCATGTAGTACATTTGGAAAGTCTTTGGTCGTTGGCACAAGGTCACAAGTCCAGGTCTGGGCCTTCAAGTCCGAAATAGCTTGCATTTGTGCTATCAACCAGTCTTTCGTATATACCTATGGACCTATTGCAGGGCAGCATGTAGCCGTCATGCAGATTCAGGTGCGGTCTTCAAGAAACAACAAAGTTCAACAGTGCATACATTTTCAGCATGCACCCGCTTACAAACAAATCGACGTTTGATCACGTTGAGTTTTGTTCACTGAATGCCAGTCTGAATACCCTTGACTCTGGAATGTCCTTCCGCTCCACCATGCTTGATCTTACAAGTGCCAAACAAATCATGCAAACAATGCAGCAATAATGTAATCGACCAAACGGCTTTATGTATACTGATGTTTCGTTTGAGCATGCTTAAGCTGGCTGGGGTTCGCCCCCATTTGACAAATGTATTTCAGAACTTTCCTTAAACAAATGCATGATTTCCTCAACAAAGTTCAATGATGCTGCCTACGTGCTGATCCCTGGAGAGTGTGGCCAAGCGGTGAATGACAGGACATGTCAAGCTCATTTGTTCAATGCGTTCTCACACTAGGGGGAGATACCATAGTAGTAGTTGGACCACGGTGCATGAACAGCCGTTTGTGCTTTTTTTTTGTGTGTGTCTTTCGCGCGCTATTCACAATAGTTTTGAGGTTGTCTTCAGGGCCAGTGGGGAGAGCGTTCGTGCTTTTTAGTGCTTTTATGCATGTTCTAATAGGTTTATAAGTTGCTTTTATGCATTCTCGATGCAGGTGTCACACTCATTTTACACAGTTTCTCTGGCGAAGTGGTCTGGGGAGGAGGCAATTTGCATCATCACCAGTGTGAAAATGACATTGCTGGCCTTGCACACTTGTACGCTCGATTCCGGAAATTAGAGCACATAGGCTTGCGGTGGATGAAACGACACTTCGTGAAATTGAGTCCGGAAGAGACAAATAGAAAAAAACAAGCACTAAAATGTCGTGCAAATGAGACGTTAGTTCGTGTAAACTCGATAATTAATGGACACTCAAACACTACTAATGTCATGGCTCGCAGTGTTGTTGTTGTTGTTGTTGTTGATTATTGTTTTGTCTTGCTTTTCCACTTTTGTTCATTTGCCTGTCTTTCACTTTCGCTTGAGTTTGGGGAGGTCCATATCCGTCTGGCTCTTCAACATGTAGTTTGAGGGGTCGCTAAAAGGAAGCATCATGCATTTCTCATTGTAGCAGAACTCTCATGTTGCACTCCCCCTAGTGAGGTTGAGGCCTTGATGAATTCCAGAAACACATCAGAAACCCAGTCAGGCTAACTTACAACGTCTCAAAGATCTAAAATCATGACAAAAACCCCCCGGCTGTTAGCGTACCCACACACTTTCGAAGACCACGGCGTCACCATGGTCACACGGGACGTCTGCGGGGCCCAAGCTGAACTTCAAAGCGGCTGATGGTTGACTTCTGCCTTGCTTTGCAGCAACAGTTCGAGTGTCTCCAGCTGACCTCACGCCAAAAGCTCGGAGCGCAGTGTGCCGCACCGAGCTCTGTGCCGCCAACTAGACCCTCATGCTGTTGTCGGACTGGGTGGAGACTGAAGAAAAAAGGCTTATGAAGTGCAAAGTAGGTAGCGGCTACAGTAGGGAAAAATACCACCATCCGGGTTGCGAAGCGAACGTGAAAGCCATACCCACGCCCCACGCCCTTCGGTTCAAGGAGTGCTGAAGGGATCAAGACACGCACGCTGGACAAACTCCAACGCCCACCTCCCTCCCTCCCTCCCTCCCTCCCTCCCTCTCTCTCTCTCTCGGCATACAGTAAGCTTCTTGATGGGACACAGCTCATGGTGAAGGGTTGACATAAGTTGACTTTTGGTATCATGATTTTTTTTGGTATCATGAATGAATGGCATACACCCCTGGTGGTTCGTTGTTAGAATTGTGTCCAATGGTGCAAGCATACGGTCCTGTGCAGCACAAAGCCGGGAATGCATTTAGATTCAGCACTAGCACACTGAATACCTTCAAGTGCGCTGCGCCTCTGTACTTGAGGCCGGGGGTTGGTGACGAAAGCTGAGCTATCATGGGGAAGGGAATGTCTTTTTCACATGCAAACGTGACATGTGGGCTGTGTGGGCAAGCTCTCCCAAGTTCAAAGGCAGGTTCGCATCTAATCACATGGCCTGAATTCGGATTCAACGAGGTGTGGATGCGAGGCATGATGTGAAGCATAAAGGTGCCAAAACGCATGTTGTCAGATGTGCGTGTGTGTGTGCGTCCACCCCTGGGCAAAGGGTTTGCCACCGCCACCTTTTTCTCAATCGCAGGGGGCAGAGGGATCTCCAGTTGTGGCCTCTGCCAACGAAGCTCCACACTGGACGATCAGGAAAACGTACCTGCGCCGTGACACTACTCCACTCTTCCGTGCCGTGTTTTGATGCCATGGTTGTTGACCACGATACTCTCCCTCAAACCGGTTTCCTCCAGCTGCTTGCAGCCGACCGCGCGAGAGTTTGCCACTGCAGTCACGCAAAAACAACTTGTTCAACCTTCAAGTGAACTGACTTTCTCGCCATCCCGTTCCCTCACCATTTTCGACCTGGGAACTGAGTGTAACTGAATACAATTGTCAGAGTGTGTTTCGCTCAGCCGTCCCACTCGGGTGCTGAGTGTGATCCCCGTCATTGGGGCGCTGTCTCATCGTGCAAGCACTAACGGACTTCAACCTTTTTTTTCACAGGAACTCGACTGGAAGTCGCCGACACAACCGCTGAATTAACTGCCACAACGGCCGCCGGGCCTCACCACGGGAACTGCTATTCTGACAGAATCTGTAGTTTTTCTGCAGTTTTGCATCTTTGCATGACTTCTCCGCATGAAGAGCTCAAGCTAGCTGACCTGAGCTTCCAAATTTAATTCGATATGCATGAACACACCAATACACCACATACTACAACCACAATGCCTGCCACCGTTTTTTGAAAAAAGCGCCGACGCCGGCGATCTGTGTGTGTCCACCCCTGGGCAAAGGGTTTGCCACCGCCACCTTTTTCTCAATCGCAGGGGGCAGAGGGATCTCCAGTTGTGGCCTCTGCCTACGAAGCTCCACACTGGACAATCAGGAAAACGTACCTGCGCCGTGACACTACTCCACTCTTCCGTGCTGTGTTTTGATGCCATGGTTGTTGACCACGATACTCTCCCCTCAAACCGGTTTCCTCCAGCTGCTTGCAGCCGACCGCGCGAGAGTTTGCCACTGCAGTCACGCAAAAACAACTTGTTCAACCTTCAAGTGAACTGACTTTCTCGCCATGCCGTTCCCTCACCATTTTCGACCTGGGAACTGAGTGCAACTGAATACAATTGTCAGAGTGTGTGTTTGTGTCCACCCCTGGACAAAGGGTTTCTTTCAGCCGATCCACCTTCC